CCCTCTGGGTGTTAAAAAAAAATAAAAGGCATTTTTTAAAAACTTAAAAGCGTCAATAGCCTAATGGTTAAGGATACGGATTTCCGATCACGAGGTCGGGGGTTCGAATCCCGCCATTCGACTATTGTCGTAAACCATATCCTAGCACAAGCTTAGAGCTTAGTTGGAATGGTAAAAGAAATATTAGTAAATTTCCAAAAAAATCTGCTAATATTTTAATAAAATAAAAAAATTACACCTTCTGGGGCAATTTTGTAACCGATGACCTACAAATATTGCTACATTTAAAAAAAAGCTATTATGTTATCGTCAATAACCCTTTATCAATATGAAATAAAAAAAACAAGGTGCCCCAGAAGGTGTAAAATTTTTAAGTTTAAAAAAAATGCCATTTATTTTTTTTAATACCCAGAGGGTAAATTTTATTTTATTTTTCTGGTGACCCTTGTGACCACCCCTATCATCCCCCTTCCTATGTAGGTAACCTTTTGGGACACCCTGTATAGATATTGTCTCGATGATGACGAAACAGATTTAATTATTAAAGAGAAAATGTACTATTTCAAACAAAATTTTACTAATGACCTTATCGGAGTTGTTAAAAATATATATATGTTTAGGAACAGTCGGAGTCAAAGTACAAACGAAAAGTATTTATTTAGGTGTTTAGCAGATTAGTGACACCTTCGCTAGCCGATCAATTGTTAGTCACAACTGCAACATCAAATGATAGGCTGCTATTCAAGGCCGAATATTGTAAAGGCGTTCTCCTTCCTCGCTTGAACGAATCGGTCGTAGCTTTACGATAAATATATTTTACTTGACTCATTATTTACCTATTTTTTATAAGAATAATTTAAAAAAACATTTTAAAACATTTTACTTGTGTCGGTATCTAGAAGAATCTAGTCTTTTTAGAAGGTCTCATTGAACTAGTAAATGTTGTCAACATCGTAATATTCGCTACAAATGTGTATATTCGATCGAGAAATTGAGAAGTAAAAAATTAGCGTGGTTTGGATATGTTATGCGGAGGGATAGTGATGTGGGATAGTGGATGGCTACAAAGACAGAGGAAGACACAAAAAAGTATGGATATGGATATGCGTAGGAAGGGGTAGATTCGGATATGACGGCTGATAGAGATGTATAGAGAAGTAGTACATACTGGGGATAGGGCAGGTTGATGATGAAGATGATTGTAATGTTCGCTGACAAAATTGCGGTAATATGTAATAAGCGATAACTTGGTAAGAACCTTTGTAGACCAGAGTGATACTAAGGGATTTGTTAACTTTTTTACTTAGAGTATTGTAGATATATTACGACATTTAATTCATTTAATTGAATTGTACATATTTTAAAAGGAATCACATGTTGTTGGTTATGTGAAAGTAGCGAAATATCGACAAACCAACATTCCAATTACATAGCTACTAGCAAAAGTAACTACGATGTAGCATCTGTCTCTATTATTATGAGACAAATATCTACAGAGTATACCGGGGCCCATGATGATAATCTATCATTTTACTGAGCACGCAATATCTCGATCAATCCTTAGACTAAGTTGTGTGATCCGTCAGCCTTAATATAAGATACATGGGAGCTAGTAAAAAAAGATGTACGCACGGTAGGTAAAATTATCTCCAAACTATATGTTACAACTACATTGAATTAAGGCGGTGCTGTCATATTACTACTGTGTCGTCAATGGCGCCTGCTGAATAATGCTATATAATGACTATGGATTAAATGTAGTGTGACCTTAACTTAACATTACAATGTAATTACTTCAACATGGATCATTTTTTTACAATATAATGCTATTATTGCTTAGTAAATTAACTCTTACTGCACCTTAATAAAAGATGTTAATTTTGCATAAAGCAACTTTCTTATTCAGAGTATAAGTAAAATTTGTTATATTGTTCAAAAAGTACGTACATGTATAGAGATAATATAATTTTAATCCGGATACTTGACAATTATAAAATCAAAATGACATAAACTTCAAACATTCCATGCTCGTTCCATTTTTGAAAAAACATAAAATCATCAGCCATCGTGTTAAGTTAAACCAGATATTTACATATATTATTACCGTAGCTGCCAAAAAGATAACGGGTCGCCGATAAATTTTTGATAACTAAAGGTCGCTTAAATATTAATGTGTATCTGCTTATTAATTTATTTATCACTTAAAATATGGTCGGAATCAGCTGAATTCCTTATCATATGCAAGTTATATCAATATCATTTCAAATTACCAGTAGGTAATAGGTAGTGGGTATAATCGATGTCTCATCATTATGTAGGTACATCCTATATAATGTACTACAGCTATGAAAATGAACGTGTTATTACCGTGAAGGGGAATGTTTAAGAGATTTCTTAACTTCTAGGACAGTTTGGTACAGGTTGTTCCTAAATCCATAGTCGCCAATCATAAGTGATGTGGTACTGAGACATAGCGTGACAACAAATTACACCCTGTGTTGTCTTTTTTCTCATATTTATCTTGGAAAATGAACAAAATTGTACTCTTCGCGATATAATTATAATATTATCGTAATTACTGATTAGATGTCCGTGTATTGACCTGATTTCTGCGACAATTTAAAAGTCATGGCTAAGATAACGTGACGACTATACATATCCGCATTCGACTGATTGTTATTATATGTAAATGTTATGTAAATTTACGAAATTTTACATGTTTACGTTTTTCAATACGAATGTTTGGTAATATAAATTAAATTGATTAGCTACAATATGGCACAATGAGAATATTTTTTATACTATAAACACCGTCCGCCCAAAGAGTAAAAAGTCCCAGTGGCCCGATCGGTAGGCTGATCGGCCCAAAGGCAAACACCCGAGTAAAGCTTGTATTTTAAAACAAACCTTTTACTATGTTACCTAAATATTACAATATAAAATAAATACAACTTAATAAAGAAAATTTTCTCCTGTCTATTAAAATCATTTTCACGTAAAATTTTGAAGGGAGATGGAGTAATAAATCTTTGTCCTCTACTTTACCAAGCGACAGAATAGAAACCAAAATACATACTATTAGTTAAATAAGAAGATTGTACAACGTTAAATTTATCAATGTAACATTTAATATAGCTAAACCATCGCAAATTTACATTCAACGTAACTAGAATTGACACGCACATCATAGATAATTGGAATACTCAGCCCAATCAACGCATAATTACCCAGTCCATCTGACCGAGACATTAATTTACCAGCAATATAATACAACGACCTTCACAGTCACAATACATGACCTTATCAGGTGATCACGAATTCCGTGTCCGAAACGTGGCTATGAAACTCCCTCTCCGCTGTAACAGAATTGGCAGTAATTGATTTGTTCTCCCCGAAATGCCACTTCAAGAATCCTTCGATGCGAAATAACTTGCAATTTCCTATTGATATAAGTCGGTCTCCTTAAGACACGACCGCTGTAATTGGATTCTGTAAATCACTACTATATCGACATTGAAGTACCCTTAACGTGTTTGTAATTGCTTTATTGCAGTCACGATTACCTCCTAAAATATCTTAATAGTAATCAATTTTTACTGATCTGCTATTACCGTAGTCAAAACAACTAGACCTAGTATATTATATGCAAACGAAGGATGATTTGCGTGCTGTACAAATGCTGAACAATATTGGGAATGTTTAGTGACACCAAAATACAATGAAAGATATTATCAGTCATATAAGTTCTCCCTGAATCATTTCATTAATTATAGTCGACACGTAATTTAAATGGAAAACTATATTAAAGTATATTGTTTATGCGATTCGATAGTATCTAGTAATATAACAAGATCGTTGATTATTGCGCCCCTTTTGTGTGTTAGATTTATTCTGCGGGCCTTTGTTTTTCGGCCGTCGTGCTTAGCGTCAGAGCGTTTATTAGGAAATTGGAAATGTGCGGGCACAAAGGATCTTGAATTAAATCAACGGTCCAATATCCCGGCAGGACTGCTTTGTAGGCCACTGAGGGACGTTGAGGCATGGATCGAACACCGACATATCCCTTTTCATTCGCTTATTCACTAGCTAGATTGGTAATAAAATTTAGGTTAAGGATGTAAAAAATTTAATATAATGTGACCTCTTACAAACTTAAACCTTTGTTGTACGTGTTAAATATTTATTTTCTAAGCCAGATATTATTTTCTTCGTTAATATTTGTTACCGAATAAGAAATTTTATCACATCACGTTCAAAAATAAATTGTTCGTTAATACATCACTTTTAAGGTTTGTTAAGGAATTTAAGTTAAAAAAACTCGATAAATTTAGATGGTCTATTTTCTTTACAACCAGCCAACATAAAACAATGCATCTCGTAACGAAATTTGCAGACTTCATTTTCTGAATTGTAAAATGTTCCAAAAGATATGGCCGGTACTTTGTTTTCAATTTCACTGATTTCCGTACAATTTTAAATAAGGTTATAGAAAAGTTTACTGCATTGTGTTAGGGAAATAGCATTGCGTCTTCGTATTTCCCCGTAATATGTAAGAAGCATTATTCTTCTCTCAAACACGACCGTATTACCATATTTGTGTACTGTTATGCAGAAACTTACTAGAACACGAACATTGAATAGAATATTGTTTCAAATCGTGCTTTTTGAATATATGCACGATGTATTTGTCTTGTTCCTTATTTCAATATCTTTTTCCCTTATTATTGTGATACTACAACTTAAGAATAGAAATCGGACTCATATTTTTCGTGTACTGTATTTATGATTGAACGTTGTGACATATTTAAAGCATTAACATATCTGTGAATTTTTCGTCTTTATAACATTAGCTCGAATAAGAATTTATGAGTGAATTAAAGAGTGTTTTATACTTAAATATAGTATTAGTCATTTTTATAAAATGTATAACGCGTGTTATAAAAGAACGTCATAAGTATGTTCGTAAATTTTGCATTAATAGGTTTTCTTTTTGCCAACAGCTTAGGAAGTAATCATGTCTTCGCCGTCCAAGCACCGCTTCAAGAAGCAGAGTTGGTACAAACGTCTGATGTACAAGAGATTGCCGGTATCAAGCTGGTTGCCCGGGTACAACTCAGAGAAGGCCATTGCTGACTTGATAGCCGGTATTACTGTTGGTCTTACGGTGATACCACAAGCTTTAGCGTACGCCACGCTCGCGGGATTACCACCGCAGGTAATTTTACAATTTCTTTAACAACGTGAGTCTGAGATCTGCCTTAAAATCTAAGTTTCCTTTAAAAGATTTTCATTTTTAAGTATTGTTACTTAAACGAAAAAAAACAGTAACCCATAACTTTGAGTTTATTCCTGTAAAAGCGACTATTTAGTTATAACGTAAGTTTTAGACGAAAAATTTAAACGAACTATGCACGGAAATCGATTTCTCTGAAAATGCAAATTCGTACCAGTCGATCAGCGTAAAACGTTCAACGTTAATATACATATTTTTATAAAAACATCGTTGAAATTTTTCCACAACAAATGAAATACACTTATACTTGGTACAGTCTTATAAAAATATGTTATTTTGATGTTTTCTTAAACGCTTCAATTTCGAAATATCAGTGTTATAAATGTTTTATTATTGTACAAGACTACGTCAAATTTATTCATCGATGTTTTTATTTCGACTGCTTCATGCTGATAAGGACACGGAATGCTTGGGGAAGCATTAATTTGAATAACAGCGTCGTAACATTTGCATGTTAGCACCCTATTATTCAATAAGCCATTGGCATCAAAAAAATAAAATGTCGTCGAAATATTTTCGCTCCCCTTTCCCCATGTTTGTGAGATTAATGTGTATTGTTCCTCTCTGTAAATTTGTTTCTGAAGTTTGCGACGGGGACCGCTGTTATTCGAAAGCAATTTTTGTAACGACGATTTATATTCACTTGTGCTTTGTTATTTTATCTTTATTGGTTGTCGGTAATTTATAGTGTTTTGTAAATTTTAATCCATCAAGACAATTCCAACTGTTTGATGTGAACCTTCTTTCTTTTGTATTTAATATTGAACTATGATTATGGAAAAGAACAGTAATAAAATACTTTATTTCAGTATGGCCTTTACTCGTCATTCATGGGCTGCTTCATCTATACAATTTTCGGCTCTTGCAAGGATATTACTTTGGGCCCGACAGCGCTACTGGCTTTAATGACATACGAACAGATACAAGGAAGGAATTTCGACTACGCAATATTGCTTTGTTTCCTAACGGGCGTCGTTCAACTGGTTATGGGAATATTGCATTTAGGTCGGTAAGCTGCGTTCATTTTGATTCATATAACAATATTCCGCATACATTTCACGTTCAATATCCAAGTTAAGATATGATACAATAAGCAATATGATATTGCCACTGTCGTTCAATTTATATTTACTACATCAAAGTAAATTTTTTATAAATGTTGTTGACAGCATTTTAAGGATCACCTGCCTGAGGTAAATCATAAATATAATTTCCATACGTAACATTACATAAATCTTATTACGATATAGTCTTAAATTATAAAAATGTTTCGAAAAATATCTTGTTATTTTTTATTATCTACTTAACGCTGACTGTTCTATAAATTTTAAGTATAAAAATAAAAAGAATGACATCGGACGCTTCAATGTACGATTCATCTTGTTTCGTGACTTAATTCTATTACAAAAGGAGAAAGATCTTGTTCATTTGTGTCCATTATTTATCTTGGCCCTGCTGTTTCTTTGGACGTTTCCTTGTACATATAAATGGTTATTCTGAGAAAAATGCTATACTTATATCTAATATTCAATCTAAATGTAACAAAATGAAAACGGATTCATAATTGATATTACATCAAAAACTTCTATATTCCAAACTTCCTAAGAAAAGTACACTTGTGGTATAGTAGGTCCGTCTATTTTTTTATATATATTCAGAAGATTGCATTTACGAATTATGTGGAGTCGCCATGTGTTATCAATTCAATTTTCTTACACTAGTCCAAATCTTTTGTTCGTTTTCTCCCTTGTTCAAATCGATTTATCTCCTCAACTATTCAAGCTGAAGGAACGAAACTGATTTGATTTATTGGAAATTCCAATAGTCTTTATGCTTCAATCTTTCCTTGGTCTTTGAGGATTGCGACTGGTCGGTGAAACGATTGATGTAAAGTCGAACTCGAAAACATTTCTGCCTTTCTATAGCCCAAACCACATGACATCGAGTCTCAAGTACTCGTGAACATACGAACATCAATTGTGTATTCAATTCTTAAATTCAAGAGTTCTATTTCATTGAATTATATATTCCTATTCAGTCAAATATGGAAAAGAATCCGATGATCGAAGGACCAGAAGTGTCTGAAACGACATTGCCGTTAAGGTTGACGAAGATACCTCCTCTATAATAGCTTGGTCCATATCTAGACTCTAGATTTAAAGGGTTAATGTGACAAATGGTTTTTCAAATATAAAACTTGGATAAACCGATCTTTAAAAGCTCTTATACTATAGTAGAAGATATTTCTAATCCCCTGGAACTTCAGCGGGACAATTTTTATCTAAAATTATTGTTAATGAACTTCGAATACCGAACCGAGTGCCGCAGGCTACCCTAACTGGAAGCTAACAAACCTACATTTTTACTTACTCAATTCTCGTTAGCAAATACGTGTTCTTGAAAATTAATCTAACAAGTGTCTTTTTACTAAATATGTTATAGATTTAGTATGGATGTAGATTTGTTGGTTATTACACTATTTTTCTTAATGTACCCTTAAAGTTATTAAAATATTGTTTAGCCGTACTTGTTTCGGCGGAGGCAGATTGCGCGAATTCGTAAATGTTATTTTTATAATATAGGTGTCCTGATTGACTTCATATCGGTCCCGGTGACCGTGGGGTTCACCTCAGCTACGTCGGTCATCATCGCTGTTTCACAATTCAAAGGGCTTTTAGGACTGCAGTTTAAATCTAGAGGATTTATTGATACCGTAAAAAAGGTGAGTTTTTTATGAGTAGCATTCATATTCATAGAATTGCTGAAAGTGCTATTGAATAAGTTTCTCAACATTTAATTGGTAGAGTCCAATCATTATAACTTCATCTCACAGCCTGAATTGAAACTTGGTCAAAGTTATATTCTATAACAACGTAGTTATCTAAATCTAAACAATTGCAAAAAGCACCAAATATAAATTGATAATCGCTGTAAATCCTACTCCTTGAATTACACTCAACAGCATTAAAAATAACCATAATATTTTAAATTGTTGTTATGTTTAATAAAATTTGTTTCATTCAGGTTATTGTAAATATACCAAACGCAAGACTGGCAGATACCACATTGGGTATATCTTGTATAATCATCCTACTTATTATGCGAGTGAGTGTAATATTATTCATACTTTAAACTATTTTATTTAAGCTTATTTTTGGTATATATCAAGATAATATTTTACGGGACTTACTCCGATACTCCGACGTTAAAAGTTAGGCTCGTTATCCATCAAAGTGGTTGGTAAAGAAGAAGAATCTGTAATAAATAACAGATACGATTTCATTATTTTTCCAAAGATCCTTTTCGTTCTGCTCTAGTGCACACGATTCTGCGGAAAGAGATCGTAAGATAAAGACGTACAATTTGTTTATTTATTACATTGCCTTCTTTTCTTTGATTATCTTCGACTTTTTGTATTAACCGAATTTAATAGCTCAATAGTCGATGTTTTACGACCTTTACTTTGTATTTCGTTTTGGTTTTTTTCTTTATATACAAACAAACGGTTTGATATATGAAAATGTATATTTTGAATTTATAAATCATAATATTTTATTTCAATTTTAATTTTAATAGAAAATCAATTGTTCTAGCTAAAACTATTTAAGAATTCCTTTTATTTTTCTTAAAATTATTTTGTTATTTCAGAAAATGAAGGATATAAATCTACCATCAAGTCAGAAAGGCATTAAAAAGACCTTATGGTTGCTGTCAACATCTAGAAATGCTATTATTGTATTGGTTTGCTCTCTAATGGCATTCTTTTTTGATCGGTACTCAGAGTCACCCTTCAAACTAACCGGCACCGTCAAGTGAGTTTAATTTTAATTATATTTATATTTAAAAATATGAATTTCAGCTTTATTATAAACTTAGCAATGTTATATAATTCAACTAGCTGTGGCCCGCGACTCCGTCTGCGCGGAATTGTAAAAAAACTTAATTAAAAATAGATTTTGTGTTCTTCCAGACTATGCTCTACCTGTATGCCAAATTTCAATGAGATACCTTCAAACAAACATCCATTCTTTCATCCATCCATCTAAACTCACACCAACTCTACCAATCGCATTTATAAAATTAGTACGATTTAATTTATGTGATTCTTTTTATTGAATTTATCTTCGCATTAATTGAAGTAGACAAAATGTAGCATACATTTTTGGTTTCCTCATCGTATGTCAATAACTATGCATAGAATATTCCAACCAAACATTTTCTTCAAAATTTTATTCCTTTGCCAAACGTAACGTGATTTTCCTCAGAGTTTATTAAATAACGTCGCTTGCAAACGTCCGATATTCGTAATGCGCTTTCATTTTAGAGAAGGTCTGCCTGCGTTGGGCTTGCCGCCTTTCAACACGGAATACGGCGGGAGAAATGTCACATTTATCGAGATGTGCTCCGACCTTGGTTCATCAATTGTTTTAGTTCCAATTATCGGAGTGTTAGGCAATGTAGCCATCGCTAAAGCTTTTGGTAAGTAAAATTTACATATACGGGTAATTAAACATAGACTTATCAATAAAAATAGAAGTGATTTATTCATCTTTTAATCTCATTAATATTTTTTATAAACTAACCTGTCTATTTATTATTTAATCTTTGTTCTGAAATTGTTGTATTGCCTATGTACAGTCTGTAGGACACAGTATGTCGTTTTATAATAGCGTAGAGATAACTTAGTTTGCTAGAGACACAATGGAACGGGTACAGGTCGTATGGGTAACATTTAATAGCCCTAATATCGTTACCGCGACCGCTCCAACATCAGTATTCGACCGGTGTGCTACACAATAGCGATTAGATTCTTATTTTCAAATTGAGTTTTATTTTTTTCTCTAATCCACCTCTGTTAAACCCAACAGATAATATATTTTTATTGGCCAGTTCTTTTTTCAAATTAACATAATTGTAAAAGGGATAATGATAGTTAAAAATTAATTCATTACCTTTCATAACTTTTGTCCCACTGACAGAGAAATAATATTTTTGGCGTTATGATTTTGCATGCGATACCTTTGTAGTCTTAACGGCTTTTGCATAAATATAATTATTAGACATTCCTTGGTATTTTTATATTTATTTTAACTTACAAAGCTTGTAAATTAAATCGGCGACATCCTTTAATGTGTAACATCACTTATGCAGCGAGTGGGGAGTCAGTAGACGCTACACAGGAGCTACTTACACTGTCATTAGCCAATATCTTCGGTTCGTTCGTCAGCGCGATGCCGATCACCGGATCATTTTCTCGCAGCGCGGTAAACCACGCCAGCGGCGTCGCCACGCAATTTGGAGGCATTTATACGGGTTAGTACACATATATTAAACCCCCATTTAAATCGTCTTCATTGTAAGATTCTCTTCTGTTTTTGACATGGCTCTCATCAAGCAATGGTGTGTTCTGGTCTCATTACGTCACGATACCATTTTGTATTGCTCTACTTCTTATAAAGTTTGGATCATGCTGTATCTATTTATGTCCGTGTAGTTTTTCAATCTTATGTGTTTTTGCAGGTATTTTGGTATTACTAGCTCTTAGTCTATTAACGCCTTACTTCTATTTCATACCAAAGGCTTCTCTTGCCGCGGTCGTCATATGTGCAGTTATATTTATGATAGAGTATGAGGTAAGAAATTTTTTGTTAGTTTCATAAATTAAGGTAAAGTTCCTTGTGTTATAGGCAAACCTGGAGGAGTCTAAGGGACCGAGATATTTTTCAGACAATGATTGGCTTATAGAAATTTCTTGCATATCCAGATTCAACTGTACTAGGGTACCATATTTTAATGGTTAAAGATTAAGGCAATTCGTTTGAATGTACTTTTATTAAAAGTAAAATATTGCGCTATACTTTTATCATTCACAAGGTTATCGTACTTAGCCTCTGTAAATATTTAATATTTTAACCAAAAGATTTTTTTTTATTTCATAAACTAAAGAAATTATTTCAACAATATTTTCATGATTAGATTATAATTTTTCTTGTAATATTCAAATATTATGAGTATTTTATAAATTATGAATACTCGTATTTATAATAATTTTTATTGTTATGGAAAATGTTCTAATACAAGGTTTCGTTAACTTCGCCCTTTAATTTTTGTTTTATAATTCGTCTTTTTTATGAATGAATAATTTCATTACAATGTGCTAATTACAGAAATTAAAATTGATTGATTATTTCAATTCTCACAGAGTTATTATATTTGAAGAAATCAAATTGCTTTATTCACTTGTTGATTACAATGTCATTGATTGATTAAAATTTTAAATGAACATAATTAAGCTTTGAAATTAACATAAAACTTAAACGATATTCTAAATTATGGAAGACAGTCATGAAATCGATTTAAAAACTATTTTAAGCTCAAATATAGTTGTTATTAGTCTAATGTATTGGCAGTCCAAGGTCATTGCCGTGTTGTTCTGTGTCCTTCTCCCGCATCTCCTTACGCCCCGCTACAAATAAAATTATGATCTTAGCAGCGACTCCCGCGAAGTTAAGAGCCGCCAAGATATTTGAAAAGATTTATACTCGCCTAATTGTTTATTTAAGGTCCTTGAGCTGTCGTCTTGTATTTTTTCATGGATGACAATCGATGTTTTTTTCTATAAAATATAATATAGGCTATTGTGTTGCAGGTTGTGAAGCCAATGTGGCGGTCTCGTCGGGCGGATCTAATGCCTGCGTTTGCGACGTTCGCTATCTGTTTAATGGTGGGCGTAGAGCTGGGCATTGTCGCCGGAGTTGCGCTCAATGTGGTACTTTTGCTCTACCCTAGTGCTAGACCACAGCTTGAAGCAGAGATTGTTACCGTGAGTGATATTAACATATATTTGAACACTTTTGTTTCCAAAAGTTTGTCATAAATGTTAAATTTTTCAACGACTATAAAAGAAAAAAGACCCTGTACGAGTTCCAAAGAACCTGGTACCAGGTTTTTTTATTTAGTCATCCCTGTATACTTTGTAAACGACAGTACAAATTCCGTCCATTGTCGTCCACGTAGCAGTTCTTAGGATTTTACTTAACCTCCTTGGCGCCCAAAGCTAACGCTACGTTATTATTTGGTGCATATTGGGGTCGGGTACAAAATTACCACAATAATATTCATGCCATTGAGATTTTTGCAAAGAATAGAATTCTGATATTTAAAAGAAAAGTATAATATTCGATAAATGTGGTTATTGTATTGTAGCGGTATATTTACGTCAGTAAACTTGACCTTTAATTTTGCTTAATACGATTAGATAAGATTAGGACCTCCTATTTGATAAATCATTGTTGTTTAGATTTTAGATAATTTTTATAACGGCTTTCGATACTGTTTATAATACTCCTTATCGAACCTAATTTGTTTTTATCTGTAGTAAAATGAACCTCAAACTCGATGGGAAATAATTGCGATAATATTGCATCAAACGATGTAAAAAAAGATACTCGATTAAATAAGTTACTAACTCCATTCACTGATATATAGTTATTTTATTTAGATTTTTTTTTTTCGAATTTATGGATTCCTGCGATTTTAGTACAAAAAGGTTATTAATGTGACGGAAATTCTTATCATAAGTGTGGTTTTTGTGTTGCAAGATAAATGAATCAATTGGCACGTTACTGTCCCATTTTATATAAACAAATCAAAACAACGTAATAATTAAAACAATTTCTCTCATAAAATAATAATCATCATTTAATAAAACTGATAATATGAACACACTTGACCCAGAATCCACCTTTCGAATGGGGTGATACTAAAAATAAATCTGAAGGTTTTTCTGTCACGTTTTAATCTTTAATTTAACGTCATAGGACAGATATTTTGGTGCTAAATAAAATTATAAAACAAAATAATTTTTCTTTACTGTATAGAAATGCAAAAAAAGTAAGTCTTTCCTTTCTCTTATAATCCCTCCATTCTTACTACAACCTTTTTCTACCATTTTAGCCGGCAAAATTCATTCGTTAATCTCATAAATCTTACAAACTGCGGACTGTATACAATATATTATATACTATCTGTGGCCCGCGACTTGGTCCGCGCGGAATTAAAAAAAACTATTTGTCGCGGCGTAACATTATATAGCCTAAAGTCTTCCTCTATAAATGGACTATCCAACAAAAATAATTTTTCAAATCGGACCAGTTCCTGAGATTAGTGCGTTTAAACAAACAAACAAACTATTCCGATTGATAATAGTATACATATGATACATAGCCCATAATAAATCTAGACTAGTCTTCCTACTAAGCCACTCCCTTGGTTCTTCACCGGTAAATAACTTTGTCTAAGTATTTCGCTGCTGACGTGTAGTGACGTTTGTTGGCAGACATCGTCTGGCTTCAGCTACCTCCTGGTAACTGTGGGGAACAGCCTGTACTTCCCCAGCGTGGAGTACATCCGCCAGTATGTGTCACGCGCCGCGCAGAAGCAGGCCGGCTGCAGTATGCCTGTTGTCATCGATTGCAGATATGTACTAGGTAAATATTTAGAACTAGCATTTGTGTACGTCACTTAAAATAACCACACCAAATAGTTAACGATTTAACTAAACATTTGTATATAAAGTTTTTGCCAGCGACTTTGTCTGCACAGAATTTTTAAAAAGGTGAAAGTGTCAAATGTTACTGGAGACTGACTGACTACCTCTATAGAAAATTTCATCAAGATTCATGCAGCCCCTTCTGGAGATACCTAGTAATAAACATCCATCCATACATCCAAACATTCAAATTTATAATACCTAAAATTGTAAGAACATAATTTATATGGGCATGTAAGTTTTCGTATAAAATCTCTTCAATTTTTGTTTATCTTATACATTGCAGGTGCAGATTTCACAGCGGCTAAAGGTCTATGCGCGTTGTCCAACTCCCTGTCATCTCGAGGACAGCCTCTGGTGCTGCTCTCGCCGCGCGCGAGCGTCGCTTCAGTGTTCAGTGGCGCAGGCTCCAGTGTCATAGTTGTACTCACTCCTAATGAATTGGACGCTACATTACAAGGTATAGGTATAGGTGTATACTGTGACCGCGATTCCATTCGCATGTAATTTAAAAAAATCTTAATTAACATCCTATATGTTCTTCCAGACAAAGTTTTATATCTATGTCAGATTTCATGAAGATCCCTTTAGCCTTTCGGGGGATATCTTCGAACAAACATCTAAACATTCTAAGTTTTGCATTTATAATATTAGTAAGATACATTAAAACATTTTTATCTTATCATAAACCTTACATATTCCCACGTAAAGTTTCATCCTTTACTCCTAATTGTTATTTTACAAAAACTAAAAATTTTTAAATATCATATATTTTTATCAAATTAACAGCCTACAAATAATTTTCAGTCTTTTAGCTGTAAAAATGTTGATTTTTCCATACAAATTTTCAATAACCCTTTCATCCCTTTACAACCTTTTTTCGCAGTAAAAAGTAGCTTATGTCCTTACTCAGACTCTAGACTATCCGTGTGCCAAATTTCATTTAAATCGGTTTGGTACTTTTGGCGTAAACCTGCGTTATACATATAACAAACATGTCCTTATTTAAGATTTATTATCAAGTTTTTTTTATCAAAATTTTTAACAAATATTGTGAAGTAATTTCCATTTTAATACACTAATAAAAAGATAAATATTTCATAATCGTTTTATCAGTTGTTCATATCTTGTTTTGCCCTCCCCGAATTTGTTTATTAGACAAATATAAGTAATAGTGTAATTCACAATAAAAGTCAATTTGATAAGATAAGCGATAGCTGATGAAATTAAATACTTTGTAAAATTAGATCACACAACATTACTCCGTCTTTTTTTCTGTTAAACATATAAAAGTGACCTAAATGGGGACGGTTAAGTATCTTGTAAGTTTACGTCAAATCCATATGTCGATGAAGTTACTTATTACTGAGTAAGATAGTTTATGTTATTTTTATTCCCTTTGACAAAACAGAGGACCTAGCACGAATATTTTCTACAAAAGTTTTTCTTAACTTTATCGACAAAAAAACTTGTATTTGATTTGACGTAAACTTACAAAATGTTTAATCGTTCCACTTAATATCACTTTTAATTATTATATAAATGAATGGATGGATGGATGATTGTTACTGGTTATTTCCTGAACGGATAAACATATCACGCTGATATTTGCCATAGATGTAGAACATATTCAATATCTATGCCAAATATCAGTTGCACACAACTAGAAAAACATATTTAAAAAATGTATACATATACAGGCCCCTGCTAGTTTAATGTATTTTTTTTTCCAGATCTGACAGGTCACATAGCTCTACCGATAATAGATAAGAAAGAGAACGTGACGCCGCCGCCCACTTACAGGTCCCTACAGAACACTGATGACGTCATAGAAGTTGTCATAGGAGAGGAACACAATACTATACCATTGTTGAAAAATAACACAACTGAAACTGTAAGGAAAAATAATAGCGAAGTTAATGATACTTGATTTATGTACTTATTAGTATATAAAATTTAGAATTATTTTTAATTAATAGGTTTAAGGTATTTTTAAATTTTAAACAAGAACACTCGCACGATTAATTATAATGACTTAGGGATTTTTTATCGATAATTTATTTAGCAAATTATTATTAAGTAGGTATACTATGAAACTAATGATACTTAAATAAATATGTATAATTTACATATTGTAATTATTCACTTAATATTTTATAGCAAATGTCCCAGTAATAAAATTATTCCAAAATATCAGGCGCTTAAGAATAAAAATGACTGCATTTTCAACTTCGTCCACTTTAAAGGCTGAATTAAGAAAAATATAGGTCGCTATAGAATGTGTGTATTCTTTTTCCCTTTCCATCCTTTTTATAAGGGATTGATGGGAAGGGGAAGTGGATTAGGAAATAAAACTTAATTTTTTTGTACAGCCTTCTCTCTGTTCATTGCAAGTAGGCAACGCATCTGCAGATTTCCATGTATTTAAACGACATCAGGAGACCTTGCTTGTTTGCTATCCTTCTAAATAAAAACTTTTTTACACCCGTCCACCCTCTTATAGGCCTTTTAAAGTTTTTTTTTTATGTGCATCATATATGTTTTTCATGCTATGTACTTCTCTATATTTCATTTCTTAAAGGCTTTTTTACATTTTTACCAAAGATATTGCTTCTCAATAAACTTTCTTATGTAACCGGATGCTAGACACTAAATGACAATTATTTTATATCTAATATGAACCAATTATGTAAGTTTAAGTTTATGACACCTCGTAGATATTAATTTGTGGCTATTTTAAGTTAAATTGTACGTTACTCTACAATGGGTTTCTGAGACCAAAATAACAACTGTACATGTCATCCTTGTCATTATTTTAGACAGGACAGAGAAAACAATACGTTTTAAACGGAAATTTTGGTCTCAGAAACCCACGGTAAGTAATTTATAACTATAGAAAGTGCAATAAACGTTCAAAAAATAGAAAATAAATGCTTTTATATTTCGAATTTGTTTTGTTTTCATTTATAATTCTTTTTCCTTTACCTCTCTCCTTACCTTTTGTTAAGGTTAAAATAAAAAGTAAATATTTTTAATTTTTTATTTGTATTACAAAATATCAATATTAAAATAAATAAGATTAAATAATAAAATATAACTTAAATTATCTTAGCACCATTTAATTACAATTATAAATGCATTTTCATGACTATATTATGACTATCGAAAAATTGCAAACACTAAAAATACTTTCTCTTTACCATAAATAGCAACCATTTTTGTAGCTACGTTGAAGAGTAAAATGATCCGAATCAAAACATCCTATAAGTTTCAGATTAAAAATTTTAATATAAACCAGTTCGAATATTCCCATATAGAGGGTGTCTATTTAAGATAGATTAGTTTGACAATTCACTAGATATGGGTTGAGTAAAATCGATTAAGAATTTTTTCGATGTCTAATAGAACTTGCAATCGAAACCAAAAATTGAGATGTTGACAAACAAAAAGAAATATTTTTAATGTTTTTTTTTTGAGTTAATTGTGCGAGACAGCCAAATGATATCTATTATAATTTCAAAAAGTAATATAACAGCTAAATTACAGTAATTATTTGTTTGATTAATGTTATAAATTATTCTTACAAGACCAACACTCGATAGTGCATAGTTCTTCGTCATGCACTACGGTCCGATACTATGATAACCGACCATAAAGTACAGCATTAATCGTAATACAAAATTAATTCGACACTTTATAGGCGTCTCTTGTCAAACTAATCTTAAATAGACACACTATAATTATAAGGTAAAATTATTTTTTAATATACCATTACCAATTACGTTATCGAACTAGTCTACAATCTTTACATTTTCAATAATTTTATAGTCTTCGTAATTTATTTTTCATAACCCAACGTTTAATGGTAAAACATAGGTTTAGATGCTGACATTAATTTCTCTGATACGACATGGGCTATGCGAGCACTTCGTTGCCAAACTAATTCTCGAGTACGTTCGTGATTGCTGTCCACTCGAACCTGGTTGAAAAAAAAACAATAACTAAGGTATTTAACGGTTCAGAATTTAGAGAGAGAAATTTAAAAAATCAATGCTTTTTTTAATGGATTTATATCCAAAAGTAGAAGATCCGAAAACAGAGAAAGTTCCTGACCGCATTATATTGGGCCTAGGTCAAGAGCTATCAAGGAAAATTATTTAAAACATACCTGTTTAGGCTGCAATACTTTTATCGAATGCAATGTAGCAACACCTTGGTTGTTGACTCTTAATGTAATTTTTCCTGTCATTTCTGCAGTAGTAGCTGTTGCAGATTTGATTTCTTTTTTAGCTCCGCGTCCAATCTGTAAAATAATTCTCATTTTACTACCCATCAGTTTAGGGGCAAAGAAACAAAACTAAATCACAACGATAAATACCTCTTTCTCTACCCTTAGAACGAGAGGTCCAACGGCAAAGTTACTCTTCACAGTTGTGTGATCCGACAAAATATTAACAGCCACGTCACCATTTCTCCTTAACGACGACAATCCATACAAAGTCCCTTTAGCTCTTGGCTTACTTTTCTCACTCGTTTTAGTTTTATTCTTGTTTACCGGTTTCTTTGTAGTTGTTTTTACTGGAGGTTTTGGTTTCGGTTTTGTTGCTTTAGTAGGAGGCTTCGGTCTTGTTGTAGTAGGTTTAGCTTTTCCATTTGGAGTAACAGATTTGTCTTTCAAAACCCTTGTTTCGGTTTGTTCCTCGGATTTCTTTACAATATCTACAATCTTAGATTCAATTAAAGGTGCATCGTTAATTTCATTCGTTTTCGTTAGACCTTCAACTACTTTATTTTCGGTTACAGGAGTATTTCCAGCCCGTTTAGTTTGTTTCTTCTTGCTGCTAGATTTCCTAAAATTTAAAAATGTAGAATTTGGTGAAAAATAATTGAAATATTGATACAATATTTTTTAGATTTAAGAACAATGGAAGCTACAAATTATAAAAAAAAATTAAAACTTAAAACAGTCGAACGAACATTTTAGTATCCTAGATAATAATGGCAAGCCCGCTGTATTGTATTTGAAACATGATAAACAGCGAAGAGCAAAACAACTTAAAATTCGTTATTAAAAACTTACTTCTTTGACTTGGTCTTAGTCTTATCCTTCTTTGGTTTAGAGTTCTTCTTCTTAGCATCGATAGGTTGAAGTTTAACATTAACAGGGTCGTATGATCGTCTTAGGATATCATTCATTTTCTCAAGTATATTATCAACGAATCTATTATACTTGACAATGTAAGCTGCTGGTACGGTTGGTTGTTTCTCTGGTTCCTCTTTCAGTGCACCTAAAAATTCCAATTGTGTAATCAGACGACCAGAAACTTTGACAAGACAAAGGTGGGCTTCATACAATTATAATTTCAACATGAAGTTAATACCATGTAAGTTTATTGTATATTTACCGTTATTGACCTTTTAAGCATTGTATGTAAAAGTATACTACGAAGAATAAACACGATGCTATAAGCTACTCACATAGACTCCTATTCCAATACTTGAGAAGTGGATGTGACTAAAATAACCTAATTTGAGTTTGCGAAATTTGCACGACCATGGAAAGAATCTAAACTTTGTTTAAATTTTGTAGTATAGGAAAGGTGGTGATATGATTCCAAATCATTTAACCATAAAAGTTGATGAGAAGATATTCATGAGTTATATAGATTGGTTATTTTTGTGAATTTGTTATCGTATTTTCCACAAAACTAAACAAAAAGTAAAGACCTACATAAATCTGACGTAAACGATAACGTTTCTTTCTATCCGCTTAGAAAGCTAATGAATATTAATTTTCTCAATGTATTTTATTCTGCGGTCAATTTGTTTTGCGATCACATCTAGTGTCGTGCCAGCGCTCTCGCACGCTATAATTCAATACTCGCTGTATGTCACTTGTTAATTAAGCATTCAGCTGACAGATAATTCATACTACGCATACGAACAATTCCAAGCACGTTCTTAAGGCACGCGAACGAGTAACTGTTCCAGTCTCACCGATCCCCGCTTGAATTCTAATGGCGAGCAACAATTAATAGGACCACTCAACGATGGATTTTCTATTTTCTACACGTAAAAGAAATTGCGTGCCGAGAAGCAGCAAGAAGTGCAATTACGGACGACTAGCAACCGCCAACGGGAATTCAATATAGTAACAAAACTTAAATACGATAATTTTAAACAATTTTCATTTTGCTTTCTTATAATATTTCAATTTACGTCATAACTTTAGGTAATACCTAATTTTAGCAACCATAACCTTCTCTGTTTGATTTTCTTAAGGTGAAACTAACACGGAATGCACCTTACTAAGCCATTTTAGGCGTCGTAACAAACAAGTTTCATTCGGGTCGGGTGTGACCGCTCACGACTCACCCAGAATTTCACGACAGTAAACATTTTAAAATTTCTCTTTTCGCATCTCATTATCTCGTTTTCACTTAGCCGGACTCGCAACACGTAAATTTCGCAACCGATTCGTCATTCAGTGAGAGTAAAGTAAACTTAATATTGCTTTCTATGGCTCATGGAGTATGCGTCTACTTCGTCAAGGTCATTCCCGGTTGTAGGGAGCAAGGTCATAGAAAGTGTCAAGGCTTAATATGGAATCGGGTAAGGTCATCGCCCCTTCTCCGGATGAGAAAGTAAGCGGTCGTCGGACGCGAGGTCCGAAGCCGTCCCCTTAACACACATCTACAACGAACTTGCTTCTACCGGCTCAATTATTTGTAGCTCTGTCGATTTCTCAATGTACGTGAGCATAGTACTATTGTTGGTAGTTTGACACTATCACCAAATGAAATCTGATCCCTAGCGTTCTCTTCGATAGCAACAATCTGTCTAGGAGATGGGAAATAGGATTTGTTGTTGGATTGTGCGTTATATTACATAGATAAATCGGTCAAAAAGCTAGTACTACAATTTAAGTAATACATAAATAAGATTGTATATAAAGAAAATTAGTAGATATTGTTAAAAGTATATTGTTATTTATTACTTATATGTATGAATATTTAAGTATATAAATAAATTGACTAGTATTGATAAATGTAATAAATATAACAATTAAATTAATTACTAGATAATGTCACTTTTCACTGACAAAAAACAAATGAGTCAACTAGAATTCTGACCGACTTCTCTTTCAACAAGAACATTCAGTGTCCAATGTAACGCACACACAACAGTGTTCGATAGGTGAGTTAATAAAGTTGACACAAAAATAAGAACAACAGATTTATTTCATATAAATTGCCACGAAACTAATGTGACATGATCTAGACATTAATTTAACTTTGACTTTATGCATCATACTTACACAGTCACACATCAAGCACACTCACTTAATAAATAAAATAAATTAAATAGAATAAATAAATAGTCAATAAATAACTAAAGCTAAAGGATGGGACCGTGGGGAACTCTCAGGTGTGTGAGAGGACATGGCGCTTCCGATACTTCGGTGCCGCTAAATTCACTATCTGAATTTTTTGTGATCCGCTACGAACACGTGGGATGTCGCTTTAGTTTTCTTTACTTTACCAGTGTGGTTAACTTTTTTGCCGCTTTTTTTCATGTGCCCCGAAAACTTCGCATTCAACTTTTTGGACTCACGTGAGTGCTTCGAGATGTTTCTGCCGAGGGCGTCGGTTATGTCGTCATCCTCATCGTCGTCGTCTTCTTCTTCCTCATCATCGTCGTCATCGTCCTCAGGGTCAAGCGCATCAGTGATGTCATCCTCCTCTTCATCATCATCGTCTTCGGCATCGCTTTCGGGCGCGGCTACCTCGGCGCTGGCTTGGCTTTCGACTTCAGCACTAGCGGGTTCCTTTTGTCCAGCTTCGAGTTCTTCGCCTTCTGCGACAGCCTCTCCCTCTGCGGATTCGGCTTCTTCAGCAAGTGTAGATACTTCCTCAGCAGCAGCAGGTACAACAGCCGGAGCAGCGGGTGCGGCGGCCACCGTGTCGGCTGGCGCGACCACCGGCTGCACGGCTGCAGGCTCGTCATCGTCATCATCATCGTCCTCTGTGATAAGGATGAAAAGAAATATTAATTTTAATTTTATGCTAATTTTAATTTTAATTATGATTTTTGACACAGTCTTTCCTGTCAGTGCGGAATAAAAAAAATCACAAGTGTGTTCCTCTACAGCCATACGAAATTTAACGTAATAACAAACATTCATCCATTGATCTTAACTTTCGCATTTGAAGTATTATAAGTAAGATATAAATAAGAAAAATGTTATTTAATGCAACAATTATGACATACCTCCTCCTCCTAAGATGTCGTCGAAGAACCTTTCCAAATAGTCATCATCATCATCGTCAGCTTCTTCTTCATCGTCATCATCGTCCTCATCGTCGTCATCGTCGTCATCTGCGAAAAACCCTATTGTTTAATTTATTTATCTATAAAACACGATTACTTTTCTATACATCAACGAACTGTTTGTATTGGAAACTACAATAAAATCTAAGTTATTTAACTTTCGTAAACAGCGTAAACCTTTATAACTATCATTAAATCGAAAGCGCGGTTGTTTATAAGTAAGTCAGTGCGTGCGTCCTGTACGACGCATTCGAAGATAGAAAGTCGGATAGCGTCCATTTCTTTGATTGAGTATGTTCGGTTGGAATTAATTATCAAACGAGAGCACCTGTCACGGTCTTCGCTTCACATACCGCGCCGGACAAGCCACGTTCTAATTCTTATTCATATGCGTTGAAGAAATATAATACATTTATGATAATCGATTTCATTTCAATAAATATGGTATAATTAAGTTATGTTTCTAACTGCACTTGTAACCAAGAGTACTTTAACACCCATAAAACATTTATCCGCATCAGTAATTAGTTTCCTGTTACACATAACATCAATACATCAAGCAATTATCCAGATGTAACAAACATTTTTCATAAATGAGTCGTCGGAGCAAAGGAATTCTTTGCAATTCCATGTGTGGTTCTTCAAATGGTTTGCAAGTCCAAGATGTATTAAATCTACCGTTAAGAGTATTCATTCAACGGTATACAGCTGCAGCCAACCAATAACTCTATTTGTTTTGCACACATCTTAGTGGTGTGCTACTTCCTTTTCTAAACTGTTTATAACTAACGGTAATAAAATGTGATAATGGAAATATTAAAGAATATGCTGGCAAAGATGGAAGTTCCCTTGATATTTATGAACAACAAATTAGGTCTTCACCTTAAAGTCTGGTCTTAAGATATCTAAAGAGTCCACTTTTGTCTTCAAAATGAAGGAAAGGCATTAAAGAGATAGTGATTGAGCTCAGTGATTTTTATCATGATTTATGGTAAATACTTATAAAGAAATTGCAAACATATAAATATACCTCCTAATCCACCAAGGTCATCATCGTCATCGTCATCATCATCATCGTCGTCGTCATCGTCTGTGGAAGCCGCAGGCGCAGCGGCCGCGGGCGCAGCCTGACGACCTACTTCTTTGTCATCTTCCGGCCTGCCGATGGGACTCGCCCATGCTGACAACGCTAAGCAGCACAGCACCGCTAACAATAACAACGACCTCATCTCGTATCTGAAACAAACGCAGGGTTTAATTATCACGGTGTCAAAAACCGCGACCGCGACAGTGCTACATATGTGCCACTATCATACGGACACCGCTGCTATCACGTTATCACAACACTATCACGGTCACGATCACTGACGTCCTCGCAGGGCACTTCACCTTTTGACTTTTTCACTGAGTCCTTGTGGGCTCCAGCGGAATAGGTTCCGCTCGCGTCCTGCTGTGCGACTGGTCGGGACGCTATGGCCGCTGACGAACGGATACGGTATAGCGGCGGCCTCTTCACTACACTCTCTTTTATAGAGTTACGTCACACACGCGCCGGAGGAAAGTAGTGATGGTAGCCCGTTGACTTAGATCACCGACTTGCAGACACGGTTCATTAATTAAAGTATACAATTTATAATGTAAAAATGCAATATTTACTAAAAAAAAACCAATTAGTATTATAATTATAATAATAAGTAAATGATCTTAATGGTAAATGCCAAATGATTTTTATGATGCGCTCAAATTCAATGTTTAAAAATAAGTCCCAGAAAACATATCAAAACATCTTCACAATTCAAATCATCTTTAACTGAATATAAACGTTATAAAGAGTTTTATATAACTTCATTAGAAATAAATTGTTGTATATCAAATATCATTTTAATCTATGACAGTTTGAGGGGTTGGTAAAGTTCGATTGACTAATTTATTCAGTTTATTTGCCGACTTGGCTTGTTTCGTCGAGGAAAAGTTTAAGCACCATAGAATTGAAGTTGGAATTTTAAAACATTTACACATTAGTATGGGGGAACAGGTCCAAACTTTCACTTAAGGTTATGTATGTAAATTAGCTTTAAACTGTAATTGATAACGTAACTTAGAACTACTAACAATAGGTTGAGAAAGAACTAAATTGTGTTACTATGATTTCAATATCAAAAAATAGTAATAGTAAATACTTTTATTATAGGTCGACTAAAGTAATTAAACGTACTTTAGGCCTTGAATACATTTTCCAGCATAACCTTTATATAATTAAGTAAGATCAATGTCTTAAACTTAACAGACACAGTTTAAATTCAATTACAAAATTATTTAAGACGACGACATTATCTTAATGCATCAGACTATCAATAATAAGTCAGTAATTAATTCTGAACTAAAGCGAAATATGTTTCAAATAAATAGTGGTAAAAAAAATATCTGCTCCCTATTGTCGGTACCAAAGCATCTGCAAATGTGGATGTCTACGGGCAACGGTCTCTGTACTATTTTCCCTGCCCTGTCTCCCTTCTGTTTTTCTACGAAGGTTCGGCTTTTATCTGCCGCGTCTTAATCTTACTAATATCATGAATGCGAAAGTTTAGATGTTTGTTTAAAGGTATCTCCAGAACGGCTGCATAGACTTGCTGAAATTTGGTATAAATGTAGAACATAGTCTGGAACACATAGGATTTTTTTTAATTCCGCGCGTACGGAGTCAACGCGTCAGCTAATTTCACAATAAATCCGACATAGCTTTTATTCACGCGTAAGTAAATCGTGGTCGCATGATTAATACAATTCTGAAACGGCGTCATATTTAGCATTTATTCGTTTTCCTTCCTCTCGATAGCTCTATATATACCTACGAAACATTTTCCGACGTAAAATATGGATGAAATGAATCATGAATCATTATGGATTATTTTGTGTTATGATTATTATTTTAAGATTAAAAATGGTAAATAACACTAATGAGTAACAATATTAGGAGTTAGTAATTAAAATCAAACTGCTCTAAAGTCTTTAAATGGTTACTAAGGGTATCCTTAAGTAAAGATTTGTAGAGGTAAACTAGCTAAGGGCTGCTAAAGTAACTATTTACTGACTAGTGTGGCATTACCTTTACAATCTTAATTGTTACTTGATACAAAATTGCAGCACCAATTCATAATTTTAAGCAATAAAATGAACACAGCCTATTTCAATTATTACATCGTTTTTAATAATCGAAATCGTCAATTTCACGCTTACGTAAAACATAGTTTCCCAAAATACGATGAAATTGTTTTACAACTTCTCTGACACAAACTCGACGACTAGTTTTCACTAGATCATTGATAATTTAATGTATTCTTATTACTATTTATGCAATTTCTAAGTATTAGAAACTTTAATTTAGCTTAATCTTAATACATTATGTAATTTTTTTTTCGTCTATTTTATTTTGTAAGATAGTAAAATTATCCACCATCAATTAAGACATATGATGTATGTATTTTTCGAAGATATTTTAATTTTTTTTTTAAATTCTTCTTTCCGGGCAAATCGCTGTTGTTCTCTAGTAGCCGATAAAATTTAAATACAATGATGTATTATAAGTTATATTCAAACAAAGCTGTAGATAGAAAAATTACGAAATTAGCATAAACATATGGGATATCATAAAATTGATGTCCAAATATATATTAGTTGACATTGCAACGTTGCCTACAAAGCGAGAAAGGTCTAAACCCGTTTTCGGTATTGTAGGCGGCTACAAATATTTGTATGCGGCTTGTGAATGGACCGCGAGGACTTTCTCTCACTTGAACAAGTCTCTAACACTGACGTATATTGCCAAGCCCTGCTGTTAGACATAGTCAACATATAGTAAATAAATAAAACAGATGAACATTTCAAAATAAAAAAAACAAAAAGAAATACAGGATGTATTGTGTAATTCTTGTATGTATTTAAAAAAAGAACTTTCACTTTACAATAATTATTTTCCTTATAAATGATCATTCAATTTTATATGTATTTTGAACTCCTATCAAAATGTTTGTAACCATACTCCTCCAAAATGGCTTGACGGTTTTTTAAGAAATTTTACATACATATTCAGTAGGTCTAAGAATCGGTTACTATATAATATTTAACCCCGCTCGGGGTCGCTGGTGACAGTTAATTAGGTCTAAAAATAAACTTGCCCAGTCGTTTTGAGTACCTCAAGTGCTATAAAAAGAGGTAAAAAAGGTATAGTAATTATCATTATAGGTAATATTAAAGTTGTTACCTTTACTAAGCATCTCGTGAGTTTTTAAAAACAAAATTTAACTTACTCCTGTTTTAATTATACGAATTTAATTAAGTTGCAACTTTGATTGAGCACACTTATCAATTACAGTTTAATATATTCCCGATGCGGCGCCTGCGCCGGTTACTCTAAATATTTTTGTTATTCATTCTTTGCTACTACCGCTTTGATTTTCGTTAAAAATGTTACCCACTTAACACCCTTTTGGGTAACAATGCCCCCCAACTTCTACCAATAGAAGCAAAATAATAAAAAAATATAAACTTGATCTTAGTAGTTATCTATTAAAAAAATATATTCTGAACCTTTTACCCTAAAAAACTTTCCTTGTCTAAACCAAATACATATCAGAAACTATTGTATTTTATATATTATTGTAACTAAACCTTTTTTGTTTAATTATAATAATGAATGCATAAAAAAACAATAATTAAATATTTCATTATATTGTAAGTCAAAGGCTAATTTCACTCAAATTCACTTTACTTCTTAAATATTTTTCGCTTGAGTCGAGCGTGCTAATGTCGCTTCGTTCGATTCATACTTTCCTTTTTTGTTAATTTAATTTCGCTGATGCCATACTTTTTCATAACACGAATATTATATAACGTTAGCAAGGAAAGTTGTAAAAATTTATGGTTTTAGAGAGTACCATACTTTTAGTATGGATATAAACAGAAAGTTGTTGATGCTCGTTCTGTTTTTTTAACGTAATACAACACTACGTTAGTGATTTGAAAATATTAAAATACAACATTTTAAAAAAATTATCAGCATCATCAGCTCACTGTACGACTCCAGTGAACTGCTCGAACCCTACCCTAACATAGGAGTGACTGAGCCATAGTCTCGTGAAGAACTTCCTATAGAAATGATCCTATGAAGTAAAGTCTTGACTGCCATAGCCATAGTCAACCACGCTGACCTTGGTTTGGTCGACTTCACACATATTTTTGAAATTCTTCGCAGATATTTGCTGGTTGCTTCATGATCTTTTTTTTCACTGTAAGGACTTAGAGTTAATGTACATACATGCATATATACACATTGGTACATGGTGGGATTCGAACCGAGGACCTGCAGATAACAAGTCAAGGTCTTAACCCCTAAGCCTTAAAAATTAATTTTAAAAACGCCTGTGTCTAATTTTTCCTGCTTTATAAGATGAATTAGAATTCAACCTATCAGATACAATGTTAATAAATCAAGTCATTTTATTATTTCTTAAGTAGTACCATAGTGGGTTCTCTAATAATATTAGCATTTTGGTTTAATTTTTAAATTATAATGACCCTGGCTATTAAAATATGAATACCCTTCACAATGTCTGTCCTAGTCAATGAGGTCGATTGCTGTCGAGTTCGAACGCTAGTGGCCCACTAACGCGACCGGTTGCTCGTACTTTCTTCTCGCCTTGTCACTTCCGTCCGCGGGCCTCCACGCGCAAGGACCTGTCCCCACATTGTATAGAGGTTACATTACCAATAAATTAGCGTAAAACTATGCCAATGTATGTCTAGGGTAAATTACAAGCGATTATCGTTACTACATATTTATAAAATATTACTAATGATAAACCCGCATTCGTATGTAGAGTTCTATGTATTAAAATGAGGTCAATGATGAAGCAAAAAACTATCTTCATGGTTAATTGTCAATTGTTTATCATCATCAGTCATCACATCTGTTCCGGAATTTATTCCGGACACTAGATAAATAAATAAATTGATATGTAAAACATAAGATATAAGCCTCTACAATAATTTTATTATATGATATTTTGCCGACTTAAACGTAATCAAAAGATAAACGGAACATTTTGAATGCCACTTTTTTATGTTTTCTAGAGAAAGTCACCAGCCGCCCTGTATTAGACATCAACGCGTTCAGAAGCTTTGTTATGATTTTTCTATTCCAAAATGTCAAAAGGTGGTTAACGTAATATTATAACTTA